CAGGAGAAAGATGAGACTTTCTTCTGGGTAAATCTGCCTCAGAAACCCTTTGCAGGGCCACTATGAGTCAGAACCAACTTAACGTCACATACCACCCCCATATATATGTATGTCACATACCACCCCCATATATATGTATGTCACATACCACCGCCATATATATGTATGTCACATACCGCCATATATATGTATGTCACATACCACCCCCATATATATGTATGTCACATACCACCGCCATATATATGTACGTCACATACCACCCCCATATATATGTACGTCACATACCACCCCCATATATATGTATGTCACAAAGTTTGCTGTTGTTGTTAAGTGCCATCGAGTTGGTTCCGACCCATAGCGACCCTCGATAAAGTTTCCGAGGAGCAGCTGGTGAGTTTGAACAGCCTACTTTGCAACTCAAAGCGAGTTTGCAGTTCAGATTTACAGACCCTGTAACCCTACAGTGGTGGTGATAGTGTGAGGTGGAGTTGGTTCCGACGCACAGTGACCCTGCACTGAGTTTCTGAGGCATTAAATCTTTACAGGAGCAGAAAGCCTCAAACAGAAAGTTTTGAACTGCTGTCCTTCAGGTTAGCAGCCCGACTTGTAACCACTACGCTACAAGGGTCAATATGAGTTGGGACAAACTCAATGGCACTTAGTAGCATCATGTCGAGTTAAGATAATTTAAATTTTTCCTTTCTAATTCTTATATAGCTAATAGTTTTTCATTGTTCAAATTGTGCTGAATATTACCTCCAAGGTAACATTAAATAGAGATTGGTGTTGGTGGTGGTTATGTGCTGTGGAGTAGGTTCCGACTCATAGCGACCATGTATGGGGTTTCTGAGGGAACAGAAAGCCTCATGTTTCTCGCTCGGAAGATTGGTATTTCAAACTGCTAACCTTGAGATTAGCAGGCCAGCTAACCACTATGCTACAAGATCTCCTTAAATAGAGACTAGGATAGTGAATGTCTTTGCATTTTTCCGTATGTGCTTTATTATTTTAAAGAAATTTCTATTGATTTATATTTCTTAGAAATGGAAGTTAAATTTTGCAAATGATTTCTCAGAATCTTTTGTTTTCTTATAGTAAATTTTATTAGTAGAATTATATTGTGGAGCTATTTCTGAGTCTCTGGAATAAGCCCCACTTGAATATGATGTGTGTCATTTTGTGATGTACTGTACTGTTTGATTTATCATTTCTAATATTATTCTAGGATTTTTGCATTGATATTTGTTAGTGAAATTGATCTGTAATTTTTGTATGTATGCAAATTTTATCAGATTTTGGTATCAATGTTATCATGCCTTCACTGAAATAATTTGTGTTCCTCCCTCCCCCATTTTCTATAACATTGAAGCATTTTAAATGTTTTAAGATTATCTGCTCTTTCAAATTAGGGAGTTTCCCTTTGAAATCATCTAGGTCTAATACCTATGAGGATTAGTCAAAAGGTATTGCTACTAGGGTTCCAGTCCACACATGAATGATTTATTCCAAATAAGATGTATTTAAACATGTCTCTGCAGTGGACAGCTGCAGGCAGGTTCTCTCAGTAATACATTAGTGTCATTTGGGGGCTTTCCAAGAGTAGGTGAATCAAAGAGTGACTTCTGAGGGGATCTGCTGAGTCAATTAAATTCAAGACAAAGAGGTCAGCTCAGAAGGTTATGGTAACTGTTCTTAGGGATTCCCAAGGTGTCATCTTGATAGACTTTCTTGAATAACACAGGATGATAACGGGGGCTTATTAGGAAGAAGTGTTAAGAAAATTGAAATCTGCATAGGCGAGAAAAAAGCAGGGAAAGTTGCACTGAAGAATTTTTCCCATCACAATGCACCTGCTAATTCATCAATGGTAACAAGAGCTGTCCTGTGAGAATTTCACTGGGAAACCCTGCTCTATCCACCTTACAGCAATTGATCTTGCTCCTTAGACTTTTGATTTGTTTGTTTCCAAAACTCAAAGAACACTGAAAAGGAATATGATTTTGAAACCCTTGAGGATTCCCAAACAATGGTTTCTATGTGGTGTAAATGGATTGGGGAGATTCTTTGAGGAAAGATTGTTGGTGTTGGTGTTGTTCTGTGCCGTGGAGTCAGTTCCGACTCATAGAGACCCTGTACAGGGTTTCCGAGGCTGTAAATCTTTACGGGAGCAGAAAGCCTCAAACAGAAAGTTTCAAACTGCTGACCTTCAGGTTAGCAGCCGGACTCGTAACCACTACGCTACCAGAGCTCCTTGGGGAAGATTATTGTTGTTGTTGTTAAGTGCCGTCGAGTCGGTTCCGACCCATAGGACCCATGTAAATCTTTTCCGAGGATGTAAATCTTTACGGGAGTAGAAAGCCTCATCTTTCTCCTGCGGACCAGCTGGTAGTTTCAAACCGCTGACCTTAAGGTTCGCAGCCCGATTCATAACCACTACACTACCAGAGCTCACTGCCTTCAGAAGAGTATAGACCTAGATGGAGGACATGTCAACAATCAATCATCATAGTCTGATCATTTTTGTTTAATAAAGGTTTCTATGATTTTGTAGCAACACCTTCTGTTTACCCTCATATTTGTATAGTAGCTCTTTGATAAATTTATTTTGCTTCTCTAAAGTATGATCTATTCAAATCATCCTTCAAAATTTGTGTCAGTTTTGGTAAATTATATTTTCTTAGAAATTATGTATTTTATCTAGATTTTAAGTTTTAATAGACTAGTGCAAAGTTTATGAGTTTCCTCTTCCCTATAATTCCTCCTTGACGTTTTTCATTTCTTTTATTTTTGTTTTCTACATTTGAAATTTTTATTGAGTAGTGATTCTTTTTATAAGAAACTAACAGTTCTTTCCAGTTTTTATATATAATTTTTAAGGCTATATATTTTTGTTTAAACAATACATAAACTATATCCTATGAATTCACATATGCAGTGTTTCATTATCTTTTTTTCAATGAACATATGCAACTTTTATCTTTTAGTTTTTAATTCAAGTTTTAAATTTTCTAATAGCAAAGGTATTTTTTCAAATTACTATTTAATTTGTAAATTATAACTTTATTGTATTAAGATCAGTTTATATCACTTTTCCTTTTGCGATTTTATTACAGTGTAGGAGTCCTGGTGTGGCACTACAGGTTAATGTGCTGAACTGCAAAGTCAGTTTGAACCACAAGGTTGGCAGTTCAAGCTCACCAGCTGCTCCTCAGAAACCCTATAAAGGGTTGCTATAGGTTGGAACCAACTCAATGGCACTTAACAACAACAACAACCTCATGATTTATTGTTTTATGAATATTTCATATGAACTTAAAAATAGGGCATATCTATAATATCAAGGTATAAAGTTTACATATATGCACTTCAAAGTGGAATTATCTTTTAATTCCACTTTTCCACGACCTTTTGAAGCATATATTATATACATATACATATATATATATACATATATGTAGGGAGTCCTGGTGTGGTGCACTAGAACAAGCATTGGATTGCTAACCAGAAGATCAGTGGTTCAAAACCACCAGCCGTTCCTGGAAAAGCCTATACATGGTCACTCTAAGTTGAAATTGACTGGACAATGGTAATTAACCACCAACCACCGTATGTATGGAATCTTGGTGTGTCACTGTAGGATAAGCACTGGATCACAGGGTCAATTTGAACAGCAAGGTGGCAGTTCAAATCCACCAACCCCTTCTCAGAAAC